AGTTATAGGGTTGGGATGGGTAATGATGAATATTCTTTACCAAATGATTATTTCGACAGTAATTTATTTAGAAAGGTAGTCAACCACAGTACAAATATTTCTCAATAAAAATTTCTCAGTGGAAGGTAAAGGCTTTAAAAGCCAATTTAACGCATTAAATTTTGTAAAGTAAGTAAAATTTATAAATGCACTTTAAACAGACGTTTGGCAATAACATTCTGAATAATAATTCAATAGTTCATTTAAAGGAAATATATGCCTGCTCTATAATAAACCTACGTTTAGCGTTTTTGTATGGCTTTGTGTGGGATTTTCGTTATTTTTAACAATCAAGGTGATTTTTCTAAGAGTAATAAAACAAATGAGTCATCATTTCTCAAATAACTGGATAAAGCCAAGGGCAAGTTGAGTGTCCTTTATCTGTTCGAATTTGTGAAGTTTTGGTTGGTTTTATTGCACATGATTCATAACTCCATTTGATTGTTTTCAAATTCACGAGAGCATATTTTGGTGTTTTATGAAATACCCATTTGATTTCAATATTTCAACGCACGTTAAAATCTGTGCTTTTACCTTATATAAATATATATATATATATATATATATATATATACATATATGTTGTAAATGTTTTGGTTAAATATCTGCCTTCATTCTATTCTTTTAATTTCTATTTTTAGCCTGATATTGATCCTTATTTGACACTGATAGCAATGAATGGACCTCCTGATGTAGCCCCCATTTCCCAAGATCTTTACATCCCAAATGAAACTTCAGTTGGGAGTGTTCCGGTTCAATCTGTTTGTGCATCGATTCCCCCACCACCTAGACCCACATCCAGTCCCTCAGCCCTTCTTCTTGCAGCTTCACAACAGTCTAACACTTTCCACCCTCTCCAACAGCCTATCCATTCCATCCCACCAGAAGAACCGATGTCCATTGACCATATTCCAACTCCCGCTCCAATTACCGAACTTCCTCCTGATCCAATTGAAGATTCCGCTATGGCACAACTCCTCGAGTCTGTTGATTGTATTGAGAGACCGCCTGAACCATTAACCGAAGGCCTAGATAATCGTGATAAATTCATTCCAACAGAGTCAAAAGTCGAACCTATGGAAATTTCAACAGACACTCTAGATGCCCCTCTCTCCAAACAGTCTTTAGACAACCTTGATCTCCCTAATCCTTCCCCACCTATTGTTACCTCTGCAGTTCTCGCAGTTCCAACCTCGAGTCATTTAGAGTCTAGAGAAAGTTCAGTGAAATCTGCCAATGAAATAGTAGAAAAGCCACCACTTCCACCTTCGGTGCCATCGTCGGTGACTCCCACAATCATACCTTCTCCTGTTCGAGCGGCTAGTAAGAGGAAAAGTGCCTTTTCATTTCTGGATATGATTAAAGCGTACGCAGATACTTTGCAACCCGTGGATTGTGTGATTCTAATGGAACGCTGTGCACCGTTTTCTGGTGGTACTAAATTTATGGAATACTTTAAATCGGAGTATCTGTCGAAAATACTTTGGTGCGTGGTTACTTATTTTGATTTTTCGTTGTTATTTAGTAGTTGCTTAGGTTTTATTCTGTTTGTGATACCTTTTTGAGATCTGCTCTTGTATTCCATTGATTGGTTGTGATGTAATTCCATTAAGAGATTCTAGACCAATTTCTTTTGAGGTTTGTAGATTTTGAAGTATGCATTTGCTCTTAGACTGTCTACGCACATTTATTAAGCTTATCTAGTTTCCTGCTAAACGAATTTCATTTTGCAAATTGTCTAAATTTTATTTTTCAGAACTTTGGCATCTCCGAATTTCCTTTTTTTAATAAATATTCTCATTTCCTTAGGTATTGGAGCTTGTATAGTTACATGCAAAATAACATGACAATTTTTTCTCTATGGAAAGTGTTAATTGAGTTGTGATTGCTGTCCTGGGTGTTGAATAATTGGTGTATTGCAATGTTTTGAGGGTTATCTTTTCGAATGGCCCTATGATTTGGTAACTAATTTGCTACAAAATTGCTTTTACTATCTTTTATTCATCAGATAAACAGGCCTTCTTTTTTAAGCTTATAGGTGTGTAAATCAGTGTTAGTGATGGTATGTGTAAATATTCTTTCCAATAACAGTAGACCTCACCTGATATCTGATATGTAATAAGTTTGCTCCCAATGATGATTCCCATCTAAGGATTGAATTTGTTTCGAAAACTATGAATACTGTCTTAATTATTCTCCCTGTGTTTAGATTCGATAATGCAAATCTTCAATTTCCAAGGTGATAGATGTAGCTCATTTCTTTTTTTTAAATTTACCTATAAGTACGCTAATTTGCTTCTTCGCCATTGTCAGAAGTGGTTTATTTCCATTGAATGTCAAAGGTGTTGTGATTGCTCCATTAAATGTTTAGTAAACGAAAATACGATTGAATGGAAAGTTAAGTTTTGAATGTAAGTCCTTATTCGTGCAAATTTGGCCTTCAAATCAATTAACAGTTTGGCGGATTTCAAAGTGGTCAATAATTGAATTCAGTTCTTTCAAATTGGAATGAATTTAAGTGCACTAAGAAACCGTGCAAATGGCCATTACGCTAGTACTCAAGTTAGGTATACACTACAACTTTCTTTAGAAAAAAAACAGTGAGCATCTATGCCGTCTCTTTTCAAAGCATTCCTTCTATATTCGAATGATTTTTAACCTCTCTCTTGGGTAAAATGAATTTTCAAATTTTCGTCAATTTCAATATTCCTTGATGATGTGAACTGGCCACTACCATCTAAGATCATCCTACTTCCTCGGACTTAATTGGTTAACTCTATTACTTAATCACTCGAATAATGAGCATCGGTTATGGTGGGTAGAAACTTGTTTCTTATTCCGGGAGGGGGTGGGGATTGATTTTTTTTAAACTGAATTTCCAAACCTGAACTATCCATTTGATTGAGTATCGCACTATTGCAACAAGCATTTTCCACCATCTATTGCAGTTGCTTCATTCGATGGCCTCTTGCGAAATGTTGTTATTATACCTGGAAATCTCCTTCTAGTTTGAGTTTCAGTTTTCGAATTCTAGTATTAAATGTTGGCATCCTTATTATCGGGTTCATTTTAACCCTCTAAAGCCCACATAAAGAATACGCACTATTAAACCCTCATTTTCAGTAGAATAGTGGCGTCATGTTGCCTCCCTGTTGAACTTGAATTCTCTCGCCTCATTTCATTACCTTGGCTTAATGGGTGTATAGGGCCATTCCAGTCACTGTGTGCACATTGGGTTAGCATGCGACCCTTGACCTTTGAGTTCGCAGACGAATACCCTGACCACTGCGTCAATACTGCGAATTGGTTAATATCACTATAGCTCTTTTTGCGGGTCAATTTACCTAAATATGGCATTGGCAGTCCGTTTTGAAAGTCAAAATTAGACTGGGAGTTGTGAAGCTGTGGAGAAGGAGGATTGAAATTGGAAGTGGATTTAATTTAATCTAGAGTAGCACCTATTGCCTCTATTTTTAATACGTTATCTCTGTGTGTGCGTGTTATATTAAAACTAAGTTGACAGTATTAATAATTTTCTTTTACGAGTGTTCATATTATTGGGTCTTACAGACGAAATGCAGTTAATTGAATCTTTTACTTCAGCATGCTGATATTTTTTGTATTTTAGTGATTTGAATGGTGGCCCGCCCGTAGATACAGAATTCGGACGGGATGTAAGTTGCCATACTAAATGTTATACCTCATATTGCCTCTAGTCAAACATATTATTTTTATATACTCTCACTTTTTTCTAGCCATATACTAACCTCTATTCCCTTCATACGTTTGATTGGCGTAAACCGGAGCCTTCTACACCTCAAGTCAGTGATACGGCGATAATCAAGTCCCTTTATACCAAAATCGAAGAGTTGAGACCCCGACCTGTTCCCCCAATAGCCATGCAACCGGACGAGGGAACCCCAGTTATCCCCCTTCTTCGATCCGCCCTTGCTATCTTCGATCACCTCAGCACTTTCAGACGTCGTGCCATTGGCAAGTGTCAACGCCGTAGGCACTTGATTCTCATTTTACGATCACCTTTAGTCGCTCTGGATCAACTTGATGCTGAAGCTGCCGTTCTTTCTGGTGAAATCATTGCTGATAGTGCTTCAGCACCGTCTACCAATGATGATAAAGAGCATTCTAATGATGTCCAAGATAGTAAAGACGGCGTTTCTGAGAAGGGGTCTATACCAAATGGTGTTTTGGCTAGGTTACGAGAACTCCTTGTAGCTGTTAGCATCTTCTCTCCCATTGAAGATAAAGGCTTTCGGAAGTTAGCCATGCTCTGCAATATGCTCAAACCAGATATAAGAAGAGATCAAGAATGGCCAACAGTGATATTTTCGAGAGAGTTAGCACAAATGTCACTATCGCAGCGTCCTACCACGACGACGACAGCAGCAACTCAACAGAATGCTCCCCGCAAAACAGCCGACCCATCACCGCAAACGAAACGACTCCAACAGCCACCGAGTGGATACTCGGGTCAACCAATGGGTGGGGCTGTTATGGGAATGGGAAATAAGGAGCCTTCGCCAAGGCAGTTGTTGCAGCAACCCCTACAAGGTCATCACCAGGGTGGCCAGCAGCAGATGAGTCCGTATATTAATCAGCAGCATCAACAACAGGGACCTCAGGGTGTGATGCATCATTTGGGAGGTGGAATGGATCCATCTGCACCTAATCAGTATCAACCAAGGATGGTAAATGTTATTATTTGTTATAGTCTATTTTATTAGAGTTGAAATAATTGAGATAAATCTAGTAGAAGCTTAATGGCTGTTTTATTTTCTTCTCTATAGTCAGTTTCCTTCGGCCCAGGCAGCAACTCTATGATGACCCCCGTAGGAAGTAATCAACATACTCCTCTCCAGCACGGTTCATATTCAGGTCCGAATTCCATTGAGCCCACAGTTGGTCATCAGCAACAGATGCAGCAACAGCAACCGGGTATGCAGAGAACTCTCTCCAGTGCTTCCGCAGGTCCTGGAAGTGTTCCGGATACATTTGGAGGTGGGGGAAATGTTGGATTCCAACCCTCACCTGCAAATCAACCATCACTGGGTAATCAGGGCTATGGACTTGCTCCACCACCCATGGCAGGGTCAGAGGTTCAGGGTGTGAGACCACCTGTGGTTCCGCAGCATCAACAGCAATACTATTCACCGATGCCTCCAACACCCTACGAGGTAGGTTTCGTCAATAATATCGGATAGAATTTATGAATTCTGTATCACTAAGTTACTTCTTAGCTCTTGCTTTAAAACGCCTTTCATGAAGAGAGAAGAAGCAGCATACCAGGGCTTGCAAGTGCAGTAATTGGCGTTCTGGTACATCTTCCCCAACTATGTTGGTTTCTCATATTCTTTATTGAATGTTCATTGGGTTTCAAACATCTGATTTTACAGACGTGCACAATCACCAATTAACCAGAGAAATATTCATTCATGTCACTTCATTATTCTGTCTCTGCATATATCTATGCAACAATATTGATGAATCTACCTTGACAAAACTAGAAACTACGTCTAACAGACATCAGAAAGAACTCATCTATTGTGGTTTGCATCTTACATATTGCGTCAGTTAAAATTGTTTAGTTGAACAAAGTATTTATGATATGAACTGCGAATAACAAGTCACAAATGTTCTTTTCGTCTACAGGGTGAAGGAGCACTAGCCGGTCTTTCTCCAGCAGTTGCTCCAGACCAATTCCTTCGAGTCAATTACCCTTCGAACGCCAGTCCTATGTGTTCCAATCCCAACATCAACGCCAGCATTGGCGATTCCCAACCACTCCCAACATCTCTACCTGTCCTCCAAAACCCTTCACCTTCTCAGGCACAACCACAACAGCAAGCCAAACAGCAACAGACACCTCAACACCAGACTCAATCTCAACCTTCGCCTTACGCTGCTGGCGGTGGCACTCCGCATTCTATTGAACAGCAGCAAGGCAGTTTACAGTACCATATGAGACAACATGCGTCTCCATATCAAGCGTCACAACAACAACAACAACAGTCACCTATGGCTGCCGGAAGTCAGATGTTAGCTGGAGCTCAACAGCAGGCCTACCCTATGCCGGAGGGGAATCGGTAAGCCAGACTAAAGTGTTTTCGATTCACCGCTGGCTTTGTTTTTTTTCAAATCCTTGGTGAGAGGCCAAGAAGAGGAGAGAGATAAGTCATAGGCTAATAAATCTTCGAGGGTTTAGTTATTTCTGGTAAATACGCGTCTTCTATAAGATTTGTAAATGATTTGTCTCTGTTGGTGATGATTATTTATGCATTTTACTAATACATCTAGTTAACATTTTGAATCCAAGACTCGAAGCGTGATTAATAATTCTCTAAATTCAACTCGGTTTAACTCTTTCATTACTAGGTTTGCTTTGTTCAACACAAATTGGGTCTGAGTTTCTTTCAACTTTAAAGCCCCTTCCTGCCTACTGATCGAACGGAGTTTAGTCACATTTACTATTGAAGAAGTCATGCCTTCCGAATTATCGAAGTATTTACCTAGGTCACTTGTATAAGTGAAACGATTCTTACTTGCTTGGAGATCACTCCAGTTCGCAAGTTTCTATTTCAAGAGATGTTTGCACGCAGTGTTCACCATATTGCGATGGGAAGAGCTATATTTTAGGCCATAATAATGTAGCACATAGGAAAGTTCAGATTTTTCGCTTCACTCAACTTTGCTCATTTCATTACCGCAGCATTCATCGGCACACTAAATTAACTCTTGTTTGTAACACCATTACTGCCCTAACTCCTGCTTGCGGTTGAAAGAACGTAGGAAAATTGGGAAGCTTTTTTGCTCTGAAATAAATTAATTGGTTTGACCAACCTAGTTAATCAAACTGCTAATAAGATCAATGAACATTTGCTTGTCAATCAAGGTGCTGAATAATTAGATTAGCATTTCAGAGTGTGAAGCACCGAACCAGATTCCCAAAATCAAATGTTGGAAGGACTTTATAATTGTCCTAACTTTATTGTTAAAAAATTCTCCATCTTCTCTCCTTACCCTTGCACTATGATGTTAATGGAGTCATGAATACCTAGAAGATATTTTTCTCTTAACGAAATTAATATCATACTTCCTCCTAATACTATTGGAATAACAACTAGGCCTTAGCTTACTTTGAATGAAACGAAATGAATTGCGGTCATATCGTCCATAGTTCAATGCAAATTAGAATGAATTTTTCGCTGTCTGTGTTTGCTTGTCTTTTCCCTCCTCCTCCTCGCTCTTAGCTGTCAATCGTGAAACCTTTAGTGGAAAATTTCGTCTCTCCTTCATTTCAATTGTGTTTCCAAGATGGTAATTTTCTTGTCTTAAAACTGTCCACTACAAGTCGAATCCGCAGAAACGGGTCATTCACTAAAGATAGCCAAAAAATTACAAATGTATGTAAGGGGACAATTAATTTCAACAAGCATCTCAGTTCTATGCTTTATTCCCAAAAGTAGCTATTGATGCTTTCTTCATCGAGCTCTCTGACGCTTATGTTCAATCACGTGCAAATCGGCTGCTGTTGAACTAATATTAATCCTCGGGATTGTTTATTATCCCTTTTTGTCGCCTAGATTCCGAAATAAATACTCTTTAGTACGTATGCTACTTAACAAGTAAGTTGATAGTTTTTCTTAATTAGCTTTATGTCTATTCCCCCTACTCTACCTTAGTTTTGTGAATTTTATGGAATTCTAACTTTCCAACAGATGCTCTACCTCTGGTAGAGGCTCACCCATGAACACAATGCGCACCTCAGGTCAGGGTCAATCCTCTGGGGGACCACAGGGAACCCCTTCAGCTCAGCAACAACCCCCAACCGGTCGAATAGGTGGGGCACCCGGAGGTATGGTTCCCACTGGGGAAGAACGAGCCATAATCTGGGAGGGCCAACTTTCTCTCGGAGGCCAAATATCTTCCTATGTTCAGATCTCAGCTGATATAAACGCTCCGTAAGATACTATTGTGAAATGTTTCTCGATTTGCTATTTACTATTCTGTATTAATACTATCTATTGTGTTTGTTAGGCGACTAAGCTATGTATGGCATAATAACTCTCGACTCGTGATGCAACTGGAGCATTTCGATCGGGAGAGCCACTGGGGACAAGTCCTGATACATCGTGTCTCCTCATTTATTTTTCCCACTCAGTTATCCATTGGTTTCAAGGTACGTTTTCGCATCAATTTTTTTTCAAATGGAAAGCGTTTTGGTAGTTTTCATTAGTCCTTTAGCTGACTTCGGGCTTCACAGGGTGGAGGAGGAACATCAAAGTGACAAAATGTCGAGAGGGGGAACAGAATAATGATTCACAGATGTAAAAGAGACAGATAGACATAAAGGCAGAGAGAAAATGTAAGATGGGCGCTGTGGAAGTTGTCGAATATGACATGCAGTGGGGTTTGAAGTCAGGGGTCAACTGCCGGTTTAGGGACTTTTTTGTCGTCTGAGTATACGTTGCCAAGGGTGCGCCACGTGGAGGTAAGTCTATCGCACACCCCATTGGTTTCAATGTACGTTTCCGCATCAATACTGCAGTCTGTTTTCTTATAAAGCTAGTGATGTTAATGGAGGATGCATGGACTTCTGAAACTGTGATGTACTAAATGTACTATTTATCCTTGGCTTCTCATTGGATAATAAGCTCGGTACTTTGAATCGTTGGTCATTTAACATTCCGCAGGATTTGCTGGACACCTTTTGCCATTCTAAGTAGTTTTCGCCGTCAGAAGTTCAAGAATTCTTTCCATGAGAATCCTTTAGCTACTCTTGGATGTATGAAAGCGCAAATGAATTGACGTAACATGTCCAAGTGTTCACTGTAGTAAATCTAATTGATAAGTTACGGATGTTTTGTGGACATGAATTCAGTCAGGAACCTGCGGGTGAAGCCCTAAATCTTGAACTGTTTAACATTAGAAATGACGTGTATTTAACTGAACCCTTTAAGAGAAAAGAGGTAAACTTAATGAATTTGGAATTTAAGCCAATTTTAACCCCATTCAGCGGTATCATTTGGGCATAAAATTCGCTGACATTAGAAGTAAGTAAGTTGATGTCTTTTAATATTGGAATTTTTGCACGGTTGCAGCCACGATTAGGGACACTTTGCTTTTACCCCCAATGACTCCTTGAGATGATTTTGTGAGCGGGCCAAAGTGGTAGTGGCGTTGAAAGAGTACATTCGAAATAACCCGGGCATTAAAAATGGGTCGGTGTTTATAGCCGGTCTACTTTTTGCTTCAGCAAGCCGCTGGTTGATTTAAGGTAATGAGATTACTTCCACTAACGGCCAAGATCGTTGGATGCTTCAATACTATTGAGTGTGGATTCCAAAGGCTACTGACTAGCTTTCTTGCTTTTCTTTTCTTATTTATTTGCAGCTGTTATTCGTATATATCTAACTCTTGAATCGAACATATTAGTAAGACGGCTTAATACCTCCCATTCCATGCTCATAGCTACAAAGCGATAAGTTGGTGTAATTAATCCATGCAGTAGTGCCAATTAGATCACCTCGGTTAAACTCAACCAATTAGAATTTACAGTCGCTTTTTTAACCCACCTTTTAGAGTTCCGAGAACCAGGCTGCCTTGCTGAGTCGATTTCAATGTCCATCTCCCTCTTCCTTCGCAGTGGCCATTGTACCTCCCCTGAACAGTTTTGGGCAGATCCCATCAGGATGTATTGCCTTCATATGCCTCCTGTGTGTTGGCGACAACCACCTCGTGGGCCTAGTGCCCAGGAATGCGGAGACTTTCCGCGAGGATATTGTACGCAGACAGATGCATCGAAGGCAACAACCTCAACAGGCAAGCCAGCAGCAACAGCAGTATGACGCGAGTCTATTGGAAATGCAATCTCAACAGATTCTTCAACAACAGCAGCCCTCGCCAGCATACAGCGTCAACACACCATCCATGCCGAATACTCCGAATAAAGGGGTTCGAGCTACCACAGTGGTATATTTCTGATATATGTATATGTATTGGCATATTTTCTAATCATCTTTTCGGGCGTATACAAGTCACAGGTACCACATCCATAAACTATTTACACAATTAAAATAATTGTGTCAGTTGCTTAGGGAATTCTGCTTTCTTCTGAACATTTATTGATTTATATCAAATGGCAGATGTTTTGATAGTTATCATTAGCCCTTTAGCTGACTTCGGGCTTCACAGAGGGGAGGAACATCAGAGTGGAAAAGATTCGAGAGAAGGAACATAAGAGTGATTTAAAAATGTAAAAGAGACAGACATAAAGGTAGGGAAAAGGGTAAGGTTTTATATTATTTTATATCAAATGGCAGGCGTTTTGATGGTTATCATTAGCCCTTTAATTGACTTCAGGCTTAACAGAGGGGAAGGAACATCAAAGTGGAAAAAAATTCGAGAGGGGGGGAACAGAAGAGTGCTTTAAAGACGAAGGTAGAAAAAAGGTGAGGTGAGTACTGTGGAAGTAGTCGAATATAGCATACAGTGGGGTCATGGCAGTTTGAAGTCAGAAGTCAGCTGTCGGTTAATAGACTTTTTGCCGTATGAGTATACGTTGCCCAGGGTGCACCACGTGGAGGTAAGTCTATCGCACACCCCAGGAAAAGGGTAAGGTGAGTACTGTTAAAAGTGATCGAACATGCATTACAGTGGGATCATGGTAGTTTGAAGCGAGAAGTCACTGCCCGGTTTATAGACCGAATATGACATAGAGAAGTCAACTGCCGGTTTATAGACTTTTTGCCGTATGAGTATACGTTGCCCATGGTGCACCACGTTGAGGTAAGTCTATCGCACACTAGAATGGGTAATTATTGCTTTCAGCATCTTGAGATTATCTGAATATTAAAAGGCGTTTGCTTGACTTACAAATTGTTAAACACTGGCAAATATATGTGCATATATTCTCAGCATATTTTCAAGCCTCGCCTTTTAATCTCCAAATGGACTTCATTTTTGCTGAATTTCTGCTGCCTTCCTTAAAGGGAAAATTGTTCTTCTTTTGCGTTGCCATTGGCCATAACGTAATAATAGTTTGCTTAACTGAAAGTCACTTTCTACTCTTCTGAGTGAGAGTAATGGTGCAGTTTCTATTTTCGATTAGCAACTACTACAAATCAACTAACCTCTTCTGACATCCGTGTAAATATGCTACGCGCCTTTTTATATTCTTCCTTAAAGACACCCTCGCCAGCAATGGGCCGAATTGGAAGTGGTTCCGCATCTGCTGCCGGTATGCTACCACAGCAAAGGATTCCATCCCATGGTGGCATGTTGGTGGAAGATGTTGCTGACCCCCAGCAGCAACAGCAGTTCATGAACACCCTCACTACAAATATATATCCTCAGCAGATGGCGCCCCAGTCACAGCCCCAAGGTCCGCCGCCCCAACAACAGCAGATTCAAAGGCATTCACCCGCGTCTTGGCAACAGCAAGAGCGCCCGCAACCCTCTGTTACACTACCACCGGAGATGATGCAACAGCAGCAACAGAGAGCGTATCAGGCGTATCAGCAGTCACAGCCGCCACCAATCATGTCTGGTGGGCAGGTTAGACATCTTTTCTCTCTTTCATTTCATCGAATCCCACTTATTAAAGCTTTTTTTCCATGCCCATCTTTTGCAAAGATATGGTATAATGAAGCCAAATGAGAGGCTCGAATTTTGCACCCAAAGCATGTAGTCGTCTCTAATGAACAGAATAGTGCTTAACTGTTATTTGAGTCTAATAGTCTTAGTGGCATAGATTCCACTTACGGTGCTATTCTTTGTAGTAGTTTATTGTTTTTTATATTTAACCTTATCCATATCTATTTGGCCGTCTACTATCCAAGTTAGTATCCAAGTTTCTATTAAGCCCATTGGTTAACACAATTAGTAATTAGTACCAGATGTACATTTTTGCAGACTAGCTCTACAATTTAATCATTGCTACCCTCACTTATTTTCAATTTTTTAGCCATCACAACAACAGCAACAACATATCTACCACCAGGGTCCAGGCATACCAATGGGCCAATCAGTGGGCTTCATACAACAGCAAGCACGAATGTCCCAAGGTCAGCCACATCCTCAAGGTGGTTATCCTGGTGGTGGAATCCCACAACCTCGACAACAATTTCGTGATGTTTCTTCGCGCTTCCAGAGTACAAGCAACCCAGCAGCCGGAATGGCATCAGGAAATCCAGAATACCATAATGCTGCTGCTGCTGCTGCTTCTGCGGTTCCACTCCCACCAGCTTACACGTCGAACCCCATGTATGAGATTTCGCATGCACAACAGTATGGTGGGCCGATGCCAACCCAACAAAGAATGACAAGTCCGCCCTTTACCAGGCCACCTGGTCCTGCTATGGGAATGCGAGGGGCTGCTGGATATGTTACACCAGGGGGTCAAAGAATGACAGCAGCGGGATATCCTACCGGTCGTGGTGTCGTAATGAGTGCCCGTGGTGGAATGGTAAGAATGCGAGGAACTGTGCCTGCACAACAGCTTATGATGGGTGAAGCACCACCAGGACTTGTATATGATGGGCCCATAGGAATAATTGAACAGCAAGGACAAATGCAACCCCAACAGGGCGTATTCGACCCCAATATGCAGGCCCAGCCACCGCAGAATCAACCAAATTTATTTGATTAAAAACTGCGTACTTATTTCTACTCCCCATCTCAGTCTCTCACTTTCTATGTGTATATATTTATGGTTCTTTGTTTTATAATCTTACTCGGTATTGTATAATTGCTGGATTAATAAAAAAATGGATCACAATAATCTAGATCAACTTGTTTCTTTGACGTGCAAAACAGATTTTGTAGATTTTGCCGATTGATAAAGTACGGAATGTTATTAGTGTCAAACTGTAAGATGAAATTCTGAGGGAAAATGTGCATAGATGGCGCAATTGACAGCGTACACGTCCGTCACATCGCTTCACATCCAACGTTGTGGATAACCAATCGTCTAAGTTGATTTTGGTCAACAAGAAGTTGTGGAAGATGTATTTCTCATAAGAGCAGCTTCAGGATGCCTCCCCAGCCAAGTCGGGTGTTATGAGTACTTGGGGAGCTTTAAGCAGTGACACATTGTAGTTAAGCTCCATGTTCTGCTCTTTTCTAAAAGAGCTATTCCATTGGCCCTTATATTTTAACAAGCATATATGATAAACCTACGAAAGCAATCGTAAATAGCCAATAACGTGTATTTAAAATGGTTTTATTTGCAGAAAACCTTAGGAATATATATATAATTATGATTACAGACACTCAAGGCTTCCAAAGTCGAAGCAAGCCATCTTCCGAAAAGGTCGCGATGAGATTTTGATGTGGATGGTGAGCCACACCGAGGATTTCCTTCTCATGGACCTAAACAAATAAAAAAATATGTGGTCATTAGACGTCATTAATAAAGCGAGGAATAGACCTTTTAAGTGAACCTCACCGGTAGAGTTTGTTCTAGTTTTCCACCACTACTGACATTGAAGCAGTAGAGTCGACGATCCTCACAAACGGCGTATATCCATTCACCTCGAGAGCTCACAGCAAAGCCGACAAAATCACCTCCCTCGCGTTTCCCATTCGTGCAACTTCGAATAACCTAATGAATTAGAGTTAGTCTTTACTGAATTCGATATAAGTAGGCTCATTCGAATTAAGCTCACTTGTCCTTGCATATTCATGATAGCGATGGTGTTTGAACGGCTACATACAACAAATTGGTCGGCATTACGGGGCATGGGTTGAACACTTAGGATAGGTACCTCACGACCTACTAGGCCCGAAATTGTCTAAAAAAGACACAATGGATATGAATCGACCTGCAATAAGTTGTTAGTAGCAATGGATTATTGTGCATTTACCTTAAAATTGGAAACACATTCAGCAGTGCGAGCTGACCAGACTCGAACTGTACCGTCAGTACTTCCACTGAGAATATGGTGACCATCCAGGCTGAAGGACACATCATTGACGAAACCAGTATGACCAGTAAATTCCTTCAGAAGATTACCGGACTTCATTCCGTGGATTCTAAAGGGAACAGTGCACGAACTTTAAACTATTGTCTGCTTCACTCACTACAAAAGTACATTTCAATGCAAAAATAATGATAATATGTATGATTAAGACGACGCAATGTTAAAATAACTCAGTGGTCAAAATGAATGCCTCCTTGATGTGAAAGCGGAACTTTGCTTTATCGACATCGATAACACGACATAGACATAACTTAAACGCCATTACCACCAACCATATTCTACCACACCGGCATGAAGTCGAGTAATCATCAATGATTGATTGAATATTCATCGGAAAATCACAACACAAACTCAGGTATATAAATAGGCTTCCAAGCATGTCAGTAAAAATCTGGGCAAACTTAATCTCTCTCTGGACTCTGACCACTTTTATCACGCCTGGCATGGAGAGCTGACAGCACATACCACTTCTACAACAAGCATTCAACGATAAACATCAATGCAGTTGATTAATTACCTAAACCTGAATAGTAGATAAGTGTCCATAACAAACTTTTAAAATTGAAATGGACAGAATTGGCAAAGAGAGTATTCAAGAGAAGTGCCTAAGTAATGATTAACAATAAACTCAAGGCCTCCTCGTGGTAATTATTCCGTATATTTGTCCTAAGTGTAAACCTTTTCTTTTGCATATACATCTTACTACCCATCAATGATCACCAAAAACAACCAATCTCTTTTGGACAGATCACTAGAACACCAATATGATCACTGCCAATAGCAGTTTATCGATGATGCTTGCATCGTTCACAGTGCACGTCAGTCAAGCCAGAGGTCACGCACTCGAGTCCCATCGGCGAACACCCAATGAGAGAGCAGTCAAACCTAACTTGTCCAGAAGAGATATCATAAAGGAGGACAGATATTGGGCCTCTCACAAGTGGGGCTTAGTGAAGGCACTCTAGATGAGAGTTGGAAAACTCTTTCACCAAGTGACGTGGGACATTTATGATCTCATGGGAGCATGACAGATTTAAAGAATATGGAAGTGCCCATTAGAAAAGTAACATTGCGAAATAGAACTTACAAACAGGTTGAAAGAAACTGAAAGTTAATGCTGACAAATTTTAATCATTGAATCAAAAGAGTATATTTTACTTAATTCCTATTAACAACATCAGCTCCAATTGACCAAATTGATCAAATGAATTACCTACTTTGCAAAATGTAAACCAAAAAGGAGTCAGAACCACTTATTTACCCCCTTGATTTGTTTCAACTTACCGAATTGTGCGATCATAGCTGGCAGTTAGGAGTTGAACATTGTCTTTGGAAAAGTGAGCAGCAGTAACACCCTTGGTATGTGCCCGCTCAAAGCGGCGCAGGCACTGGCCAGATTGGATGCGCCAGACTTTCACCTTCCCGTCCAAAGAACCTGACGCTAGTAGCTCGGAATCTCGCGAGAAGGCAAGGCAGAGAACTGTCTCATCCATCATCATGAAGTTCTCCTATGAAAATAAATAAAATCCCATTAGATACCCTCCAGTGATTTGAACTTACAAAATATACAAAAAAATACTCTGCTAGATAGTTCGAATATATATTTTTCAGCAAAAAAGGTTAGCGCCTTTTTTCAAAGATTTTTGCGAACTTAGCCAATTAACTACGCTAGAGCTCTATGTTTCCTTACTAATAAAGCGAATATTAACTTATTTCCCGTAATATTTACCAATGGATCGAGCAACAAATTAGCCGTATGCTTTTCAAATACTATATTAGCAAGTACTAGACATGAAAAATACATATCAAGAACAATATGCAATCAGATTACGCTATTTTATTATATTTTATTATTCGTAAGATAACTGGAGAAATAACCTTGAAATGGATTCGAAGGATCCTCTGCAAGAAAGCAGGAACTTCTCATAATGAACAAGATGTCAGGAAACTTATTTACAGGGATTTTGGAGGTCAAAGCCGTTTTTAAATCTGAAAAATGCAGGAGAAATATGCAAGGAGGCCGAATCAAATAATTCTGGTGTGCAAGAGTGAAAATAATAAGCGTTATTTCAAATTCATTTGATCGTCAATTTCTAAGTTCACATTTGAAAAAGTAAGAATAATCTATCAATGCATTTGAAAATCAATAAATCATTTATCGCATGTACACTCCTAAATAAGAATATTAGCTTTCATAGTAGAAAAAGCGTCATTTGAGCAACAAGTCGTCCATCTTTCAGGGGTAGTTGGGTGAGGCTCAATCTCTTCCTAATGAATATCATTCAATTCTACTAAATAATCAGTTAATTAACCTTAGTGGCGAAAAATAAATAGTAATAACAGAAGAACACATCTCGAACTAGAAAAACATCAGTTATACTGACAAATAGGTGATCATGGGTCAAAAAATGGAGAAAATACAACCACATTTAGTAGAAAATTCGCCTCTGTATAGCCTGATTCGAGATTAATAGATAAATATAACGAACATTATAAACAAAAAAAACAAATGAATCCACAAGCATTTGTAAGTTGGTCAACTCTTTGCGAATTTAGAAAGGCAAAAATACTGACCTGCGCTTGGTATTTCAGATCCTTCCTTAACTTTCCCGTAATGAAATTCCAAACTTCAATTAGTCCATCAACAGATCCTGTAACAAGATACTGACCATCCGGACTGAATTTAGCACATTCAACATGAGCCTTTTGACCAAGCTAAAGACGATGTAAAAAGACCTTTGTTTGCGATACATAAATTAATAGCAGTTCTGTGTTTGAGATCAAACGAACCTTAATAGTAGTTGAGAGTTGAGTAGGAGGTTTCTCATCCTCTTGCTCACGAACTGCAGCCTTACCTCTGAAAACATCAATGGCAGTACCAGGAGGTAGAAGACCTTGATGCTGTTGCCATTTCAAGGCTTGGCTCAGAAGAGCAAGTAGTCTCGAGGGTGGAACAACACTGACTTCTCCAGAGAGAGAAGATGCTATAGCTTGCCTACGCTTTTCTCTAGATGAACCCTCAGGATAAGCCTCACGAGGATCAAAGTAAGAACGAGTAAGGAGATTCTCCAAGTGTAAGTAACGATCAGGATGATTCTGTTTCAATAGGAGCATAGGATCAGTTTGACGAAGAAGGGTACGCGCCGCACCAAGTTCGCGAAGCTCAAATAATTCAATGACAATCTATCAGAAATAATATTAGTTGAAAACAAAGTTTACCTGTTCGTATAGATCCATCAATTTGTGATTTGAAAGTTTAAGATTTTGAACCACTTTAAGGACAGTGTCCCAATGACCACTTGTGATTTCAGTCATGAAGCTTTCAACAGAGTCAACGGTATTGAGGGTAACGCCCGTTTCCTCTTGCAACACTTGCAGAGTGCGCAATAAATTATTCTCCTTAAGATATTGCTCAATGAGACGAACAACACTAAAAATGATTAAATGTGCAAAAAAAACTTACTCGGCTGATTCTAATTCAATAGACATACTTGAGGTCCAAAATACCTTTTATATGTTCGCGAAACGTTCAGACTGCAAAAATACCAAGCAGAATTACACAGTGAATTAGAAAAATTAAATGATGGGAAGGGAAACTATTATATCTTTAATAAAAAATAAAATAAAATTTGGAAAACAAAAAATTATTTTGTAATTTGTTTGCAGCAAGGGAAATATTTAAACTATTATAGGAAACAATATTTCCATTATTCTGATAGGCAAATAAAGGGAGCTCATTTTTGTACATTTGCCTACATTTGCAGATAACTGAGTTTGCATTATATATATATACGTACGCTTGACTTTACGTTCTGCATTCTTGGTGCGCTTTTAAAAAGGTTCTGTTCTCCAATAGGATTTATCGTTGAGTGGCCACGTAGTCTTTCTTGGGTAATTATAATGGCAAGTGACGGTCTAAAGAAAACTTTGGCTGCTATCCCCCTTTGCAAGACAAGAGCAGGTCCAAGAGATGGAGAAGATTGGGTTAAGCGTCTTAAAGAGGAATATACTTCAATTATCAAGTATGTTGAACATAACAAAGCAAATGATAACCATTGGTTTCAAATTGAATCAAACTCATCTGGTACGCGATGGTCTGGAAAGTGCTGGTAATTTACATTTATTAGTTAAATGGCTATGTTTTTCTAAGTTCACTGGTATTTTATCTCTCACTAGGTATATTCATGAAATGAAGAAATATGAATTTGATGTTTGCTTTGATATCCCGGTTTCCTATCCAGCTTCAAATCCTGAAATAATGCTTCCAGAGTTGGATGGAAAAACAGCTAAAATGTATCGAGGAGGAAAAATTTGTCTGACCGACCATTTTAAACCTCTATGGACCCGAAACGTTCCCAAATTCGGTATCGCCCATGCCCTTGCATTGGGTCTTGGTCCTTGGCTTGCAGTTGAAATACCTGACTTAGTTGGTAAAGGAATTATTAAACATCCTGAGGATGAGTAATCCGATTTTGTATATTTTTTATTTGCCTGTGATTTATATTACTGCGTATTGTTGAGAGGTCTCGTGTTCATTCTATTTAATTCGAAAATAATTTACCGACAAACGTTTCAGTGGAAATTCATTACTCATGGATTTTCTAAGATCAGCGTATTTTAAAAATTATTCTTTGGATTATTTTATTATGTAATCTTTCTTATGATAATATGCGCTATTATTGTTCTGTTGAAAATCGGATCAAATGAAACTTTAAAACCAGATAATGAGAGTCTACTAATTATAGAACATTCCACTCGCGATGACGTGGCGTTATCCTGTAGGGTTCTGTCTCGGAGGTTGACTAATAACTGGAACTTGGGATTTTTAACATCTGCGATAATAAAGGTGAAGGGGAACTTTTGACGGAGGCCTAAGTCTATATTAAGGAACTTCCGTCCGTAGACGGTAATCTTAGGGTTGTTGGCTGCAAAAAGTGGGTTTCCGGTTGGTTTTAGACAACGTTTTTCTAGTGTATGAGGAATAACGCTGACTTCGGAACCCGTGTCGACCAGAAATCTGATCTTTGAATTTCTGTCAGTGACATGGAGGAGACGACTTTGGAAATGGCCAGGGTCAGTAGTCGCCTTTACTGTCTGGCGTTGAAGTTTTTTGATGAGCCCCTCTTGATATTTACAACCGGTTACGCACTTCTGGGCCTCGCCTCCGAATGTCATATGATAAAAACAGATGGAATTATGACGCTTGTAGGGACTTCGGTATCGTCTTCGGGTCTCAGAACGTTGTCGGTCGCGCTTTTCAGGGTGGTTGCGCCGGGAGACGAGATCTGCCACGATTAGCGACAGATTTTTTAGCTGTTCGTTAATTGGGTCAAGTTGCTTGTTGCCGATACTAGTAGAATTTGAAGTCTTGACCACATTAATTTCTGGCTTATGATAACAACGATGGACTATATCGGCCACTTCCGCCAGTTTATCCAAGTTATCTTGGTTTGTGTGTGGGGCAACCGCCGCGGAGATGTGAGCAGGTAGGTTGTTCCGCCAAAAATCCTTTATGGAATTGTCACCCAAATCATAAATACCAGCCAGGGAGCGGATATGAAGTAGAAGTTCAGAAGGAGAACGATCCCCGAGTTCGACTTTGCTGCAATTGGTCCTCTCGCGGAGCAGAAAAACGATTGATGACGGCTTGCTTGAGTTGATCGTATGAGTCGCCATCTAGCGGCTTGGAGATAATGTGTCTGAACTGTTTGACTATCGTAGTCGGGAGCGCTCCTGTAACATATTGGAACCATGTTGTTCGCTTTTTAATACCTTTTGCCTCAAGAATGTTTTCGAACTGCGTAAACCAGATATCAGGGCATTGGGGGTCAAAAACCGGATTGCACACAAAGAAATCGAGTGTATCGGGGTTTAGTTTAAACTCTTTGGACATCGTGATTTGGTAGGAGGACGGAAGTAGAAGACCTGAGTAGATTGAACAAAACGAAAAGTATTCGCCGAATAAGTGAAAGAAGGTGCTTTTGTTGAACCGGGCGAGTTGAGCGATTGAAGGGAAGTCGCGATACCAGAGAGATCATTCCACTGCCGAGAGGTTGTAGTCAGGCTTAATCACGTCAGGGTCACCAAATTGTAGCGGTTTAGCTACCTCAATAACCTTGACTATTCTCAGAAATCTCTGTACAATTTCTTCCCACTCGAAAGTCCCTGTGAATTAGCACGGGATACGTTTATTCGGTACGTATATAGATAGCGAAGTGTCTATTTGGCAAAGCGATTGGTTATCAGATAATTCTAGCATGATTCGTGTGAACATTAATAGCGAAATATTTCTGAGTAGTGTCTATAGCAGGATTTCTATTTGGTCATTGATGGAGTTTCCCACAGTTCTAATTGAATTCGGAAATATAAAATTTGCCATTTAGAAGTGTCTTTCAATTTTAAGAAGTAACTTCAATGTTTGTTAGTTTTATGCTATTTAACATTTGAAGAATCTGCATAGCATTAGCTTTAATCAAAATTCGTTTGCGCACTCTTCTTGGTGTTAGCCTTTTAACCGCTCTCATCTTCAATGTGTGACATGTTGCACTTGATGACATTTCTGACAGGTTTTTGCATCGACTGGTGAAAGTAATGATTAACACAATGATTAAAATCGAATAACTAGCCTCCGAATTTAATATTTATTTACTTCAAATGGCAGGCGTTTTGATAGCTATCATTAGCCCTTCAATTGACTTCGGGCTTCACAGAGGGAAGGTTCATCAAAGTTGCAGAAAGTCGAGGGGTGGGGAACAGAAGTGCGATTCACAGATGTAAAAGAGGCAGACAGATACAAAGGCAGAGAAAAGGGTAAGATGAGTACTGTGAAAGCGGTCGAATATAACAAGCAGTCATGCTATGGTATTTTGAAGTCAGAAGTCAACTGCCGGTTAATAGACTTTTTTTGGCGTAAGCGTATATATTGCCCAGGGTGCACCACGTGGAGGTAAGTCTATCCCACACCCCCCGAATTTAATATAATATGTCGGAGGCTTCGCTCGTGTTTCAAATCTGTAGATTTGGGGGGGGGGGGGGGGGGGGGGGTTTTTATCACCCTTNGGGGGGGGGGGGAGGGGGGGGTGTTTTTATCACCCTTCGTTCATATAAACTTCCCTGTCCACATTATGTCCTCCGAAAGGATATTTTGCGCCTATGAGAACTTATTAAAAATGATAATTAAACCATACGTACCTTCGAGTCATGAGGGTATTAAAAAATATTTGCTGGGCCGTCTTTTGTATGCCAAATAAAACGTAAGGAGAATGTATAAGCTATGAAGTTTATACTTTATCCTGTGTATTAATCTATTGAAGCTCATAGGTTGTGAAAAATCGATGAATTGCATAAAAATAGTTTTAAATTGTTGTCACTGTTACTAGAAGCTGAAATATTACTCTTCCAATTGAGGCGTCACCTGATGTCGATGAGCGTCTGTAAGGCTTTCTTTGAAATATGTTTACCAAATCTCCTAAGTGCTTCGAAGAATATATGCCGGCTGCGTCCCAAGTCCGTAGTCGATATTTCAGAGGGAGCAACAAGATCGTCTTACTATATATATATGTATATATATATATATATATATATATATATATTGCTTTAGATTGCATAATATTGTCAAGAGAAAATAAAATACGCCTATTTCATTTTTTGTGAAACTTTCGTATTACTTAAAAGGTGCTCTGTTATTAGGGAGACTACCATGTTGAATGCCAGAGCTCTTAAACTCGCGGCTACTTCAATGGTCAGTTAGTTAATTAAAATATATGCGTAGTCACCAACTATTTACCGCCATCGATGTCTCCATTTGACTGTGGTAGCTATAATTATAATTATGTAAACATATACAGACAGCTCGGTACGGTTGACAACTGCTGTCTATAGCAGACATCTTGATAATTATGAAACAAAAATGGAAAACTATAGTGCGCGTATACTGTCTCACACCATTGCATGTAGATACCTTTTTTATCAGTTACTAAACAGGACTATAAGACTACGCAAACTCTAAACTACCCCCCCCCCCTTCTCTACTTTAATTCGCGACCATTCCTGAATAACTAAGCTTATTTCCATTACCTAACGAACTTTTTCATTGTACATGCAGACAGAACAGTTCTTAAACTACTTATTTTAATAAAGCCTGCTATACCGTGTTGGCCTTCTTGACGATTAGTGGATTTATTTGATCCCTTTGATGCTTACCATGATCCGGATATAGAAAACGGTACTAATCTAGACTTATCACGATATATTATTTCAAGTGTTTTCTAAGTCTTTAATAATGAAGACAAGTAAGGAAATTTCATTTACATTGGAAGCAAAATGAACCAAAAAGTGGGACCTAATAGACCGAGAACAGAATTAAAATTTTGATTTGGTTTCTGTTTTATTAGCAATAAAAAAGAAAGAATTGATATCATTTTGACTGATGATTACATAATCCTCTAAAATTCAAGGAATGAAGTTATTAATAAGTTATCGCAATTATTATTATCAGATCAGTTATCATCCAAGGGATTGGAAAAGGTGATAACGAAATTTATTTTTTAAAAAGTAGTGAATCAATTAAGTTTAATTGCATGAAAAATAATCAATGATAAAATATTTTCATTGGTAGGTAATATTTTTAGTGAAAGGAATACCATTTTAATAAAAGAAATGTTTCTAATATTATAGTAAAGAATATTGACAGCAAAAATATTATACCATGTAACGAAAAATAACTTGTATAATAAAGGCGGAAAATATATTTTTTCTAATTTATGCGACACTAAATCCTATGGGAAACTATGTTGGCTATTTTGTTTGAATATTTCATTCAGATCTATAAAAGCCTTCGTTCAAGGTTGTAGTATTCACGAAGTTCATACTATGATGAATTTCTTCGAATTTATCGTACCGACTTTATCCGCAGTATTAATTGGAAGTAGTGGCATTATCCCAGCATTTTTCATAGAATCTCCAGATAGGCTTCATCTTAATGAAAAAGGTAAGAAAACAATTCTAAACGATCAAATTAGCATTTAATCGGTGGTTGTGCTTTGCTGCTGGCAGTCTCCTAGGTGAAGTATTTCTTCATTTGCTTCCAGAAACAGTCGAACAGTTTCCTATTCAATGTCATAAATGGGCTTTCTTTATACTCTTTGGCATATTTTTCTTTTATGCCACAGAATGTGTTGTTGCATTTTATGAAAGCCTGCAGGTATGCGATCGATAGCTTTGTCATATTGAAATAGCCTTTAAACAACGAAACTCAGAATAAATCCGATGATGGAAACGATATTCCTATTGTAAGTATCATGAACATTATTTATTTTCTAGACTGTTGGATATCTTAATCTTTTAGCGAATTCGATTGACAATTTTTCTCATGGCCTATCGGTGGGTGCTGGTTATGCAGTCTCCATTCGAGTAAGTATTTTTAATGACATTAATTTTTTATCAAATTACTTTTTCCTTAGGCTGGTTTAGTTGCGACAATTTGTCTTCTAATACATGAAATTCCTCATGAAATTTCGGACTTCATTATTCTTTTACGAAGTGGTTTCTCAAAATGGGATGCCATTAAAGGACAGGTCTGTTTGAAGTCTGAGTTTCGCATCCTTCTTTATAATTTGATGTATTTTTTAAGCTTTAATTTGAATTTATTTTGATTTTTAGCTCTTTACTGCATCTACCTGTCTAATTGGGACGTTCGCCATAGCCATTTTCAAATGCAATTTTAAAGGTAAGTTTTTTTTACTTTAATGAAATTTTCCATTTCGACCATCATATTTCAGTATGATCTCTCATTCATGATATAAAGCAACTTTACTCTATATATGTTGAATTTTATCTCTCTGCGATTCCAGATTTCATTAGTTTTCTACGGTTGTCAATCATTTTTCGCTATATACGACTTAAATTTAGGTAATAATGAAATGTGTACGCACCGTAGTTAGAGTTTAGATATACAGCTATTTTGACCTTTGCTTGATAATCTTACTTTCTAAATGTGCACATTAAGAGATAAGTAACAGATAAATTAGCTTTAAAAATTATTATTAGTAAGTGGTTGGGCTACCTCTCTCTCCAATTGCGTACCATTGAGTCCATATTAACTTCAAAGTCAACTATTTCTACAACTGTAGTGATTTTATCTATTACCATGTGCTTTGAGTTAAATTTTCCTTTATTCCTATTTGCTATTTATTCTGTCCAATTAAAGTGAAATAATAATATTCCAAGAACCGATAAACTCAGCGGAAGAATTTGCCGCATGGACGTTCCTAATTGCCAGTTAAACATGTGTATTTATTATTGCACTAAATATCATCGTTAAAAGCAGGACGTATAAATGGTTTGCATGATATTTATTTCTATCATTCCTTTTTTCATTCATTATTAGTCTGAGCACTTATCTATTGACAAACGTTATTGATTTAATTTGAGGTTGAAGTTACAAAGTTTTTTAGATTTCGGAAATTTAATTCTCTATTTTATCATTATCTATTTACGAATTGGCCATCTAGACAGATCTAAATTCAGATCTAGGCCTTGAATATGCAATATATGCTTTCTTCCCATTTCCAATAAAATCGTGCCAACGTGGGCACCGACATAATTCATTGGTTGAACACGTGTCCAAGTGACCTCGAGTAATGCGCGAATCCATTCGCTTCAAGCACTTTCCCGTCTTTATGGTTAGTAGATTAAGTTTTCGCGCACATTAACTAAATTTTTACTGAAAGGCTGCACTAAAGAATTTAGTTATCTTCGTTGCTTCTTGAACTTTTATCAATTAAAGTTGGTGGTTGGTAATAGCTACTTTTTTCCTTTACGATTTATCATGGAGCCTCGTATGTTAAATCGTGAACGTCTCCATAGCAAGATGTCAGTGGTTCAACACCCCTTAGTTCCACACTGCACTTTAGTAATAGTAGGTTTATATTTAGGAAAATGGGTTTGAAAAATATCTTACCAAACTATTTGTTCCGAATATTGGTGAAATTTTGCAGTAAAACTTTGTAAATACTTAGTTGTAACAAATTGCGAAAGACGCAGGCGTCCTAAGGAAATCCTCTCGAATGGTCCATTGATTTGTCTTGGCAGGAAAAAGTAGCTACATCTTTTCGATCTTTGTAAATATAGGAATTTGCGAAGAAAATAGTTGCACAATAGTTGCCAAATTTTAGTGTTTAGTTGGTGCTTTTGGATATAGAGATAGGCTTGTAAGGCTTACACGATTTCAAATAAAATGACGTCAAAATGACCACTGCTATTACTACTCGATTTAATACTGAGATCTGTTCATCTTCCTGTCCGCTCCCTATTTCGAAATCAGAATTAACGCGCAGTTGTCTTTTGGCCAGGAAGAATATATATCTATATTTATTTATCGTCTTTTTCGCTTTTTTCATTTTTTTTGTGTGGAGAGAAACGTCTTCTTAGACTATGCTGTTGGAAAGAACTGGACGGTTTAATGATGTGTCGGTCTATTTCATGACGGAATAAACGACTGAGTTAGTAGTGGTTATACATTAGTGGGGCCTTTTTTTCTCATTTCACATTCGAAAAGAAGCCAACACCACATCTTCCTATGCTTATTTGTGAATTTCCATTTTCCACCATTTGTACTCCGAATGCATTTCAGGTTTCTATTAACGAATATCTCATCAACAAATTCGAAAATTTAGGAGTTCGCTGTTTGTAATTTCAGATGTATTTCAAGCATGTTGATCAAATTTAACTTCTATTTTTATCGATAACAATTTTTTTTGCCTCAAAACCCCCAACAATGTTACATTGTTTATGATGTTTAGTCCAACTTCATAGAAAGCTTAAAGTAAGATGGCATGAGAGATTAGCATTGTTGTTTGGTGTTTTTTATTCATTTTTTTTAGGTTTCACCTATTTTGGAAGCTGGTTGCAAAAAGATGGCTACCTAAAATAATCGTAATTAGTAAAGATAAATTGGAAAAATTTTTTTGCGTCTCTCGAGTAGATAGCGGAAATGATGGACTGCGATTTCCTAACCTAGCAAATCGTGTATACTTCTGGTGTTCTGAAAGAACTCCCTTTCCTATTCATAATTAAAAATGAAATTTATTTGCCTTTTCCTAACTTCTCATTAACTTTTAGCAAAATTCTATGAATTAACTTCAGAATGATCTAGAAGTTGAAGCTATACTTGATGTTGATTAAACAACCAGAATTTCGGAGGTTTGTGGCAAACGGACTTATATGGTTTAACATCGACCTGTTACCTTGTTTTGTATGGTTTAATCATTTAAAATTGAGGCACATCTCAAATTGTGCCCTTAAAAAATTCACTCAAAGTGTAGATTTTATTAGTTAAATTGATGATAAGCGTGATCGCAGACAATCTTGTCCAGCAATAGATATTCACATTCTCACTACGTATGTCTTTTTGGCGCGATTTTCTAGTTTAATCCTTAATTGTCACTGCCTCATCTTATCGATGTGTAAATTTTTTCAGTTGGTATTTTCTTCTACTTTTCGAACTCGATCAATTATAGTTCGTTTTTTGTCCTGTTAGAGTTATGAATGTCTCTTATTAATCAATGGTACAAAAAGAGCGTTCATGTGCCATAAGTAAATGGGAAACTATGTATTTGAAAAATACTTTTAATCTAAACTTAGTTTATTTCGAAATAAATTTTTAAGTCTATCATTTGACCCCTTAACTTTAAAATTCAATAATATGTCCTAGCAATTCCATTTACGCCGTTTTAGGGGCACATTTGGTAGAAATTTTGACGTTTCTCTCTTAAATTTGGCTGCAAAAGGCACCATTTTGTCTATGCTCTTTTATTGTTGAAAAAAGAAGGAGTTGTTGAAATTTCGCACAGTCTTCTTTTAATTCCATAACTTCATGAATGATGCATAATTGTTTGTTGAGGAAATTAGAGTTTAGAGGCAAATGCTGAATGATTGAGAAGGTTTGCCTTATTCGAATGAGCCAAATTATAAGAAAACAGAGAAATCCGTTCCAATAACTCCTTAGTACTGATATAAGGTATTTAAAGATGAGGATGAATGCTAAAGTAGCTTCATTCTTGTGCTGTTATCCAAGAACCGATTTCAAACTCTCTCGAAATACTGTCATTTAAGGTTATTATTTCATGATTTGTCAGTTCCTGTAAACGCTCGCACTCATCAATCAATTTCATAACTAAACAACCCAAAAAAACGCATCTTCAGTAAACTTAGTTACCTTTTTTCATACCATGATATTTAGATCATGTACATACACTGGTGGACATATAAGCCATCGTTAAACAGCCTGAATCATTTTTTCACTATCCAACAACCTTGCACTAAAGGCGCCATCATTAATAAACAACGAATCAAAATAGTGTAGCTAAATAATTCGGCCAATGATTAGAGTGGCCAATCAAAAGTCACGGCCAATCAGAATTCAGTCACAACGTGATTTTATGAGTAAGTCGGTGTAACGAATGCTAGTCTATTACACCCTACATGTTTATCATTCTACACGGTAGCGTATGTTTATGTCCAAGAGAATTTGCTGTTTATTGATTCATTTGGGCTTAATTATGCAAATAAGACATTTATGGTACCAGTAGTCATGGCAGTAGAGACTTGAAGAAGCACCATCGGCTTTAGTTAACGAAAGCAGCGGATTCATTGCATCTAATGGCTATTGTAATCTTTTAGGGCCTGTGAATGTTTATCACGCAAAACTAGACATGTATTAAAACTTCCGTGTATACTTCTAGCTTAAAAGCTAAACGTTTGAAGTTCCAGTTTCAATTGCACAGTAGTGATTAAATCATGGAAACTCGTATTATTGTTTATAAATACTTGTTTGGCCGCAAATGATTCCAAAGTCTTTGTTCTACTTTTTAAGTAGGATTTATTCCAATACCTTTTTCATGAGTTACAATCAAATTTTCGTATTCTGGACTAACCAATAATAGATTATTATTCGTTCGTCTCGATGTGATCAAAGAATACAACTGCGAAATCATAGACAGCAGGCTTACTTCACATCTATGCACGCCGAAAGATGTGGATGGCCACTTAGATTAACCAATGTGTGATTTACAAAAGACTGACTCCATGATAACCTTCTCTTCCAAGGTCACCAAATTGGAAACATTCCATTGGCGATCATAAGAAGCCTTAAAATTGAACAGTTTACTATGCGGCCTAGAGATTTCGAATTATTATTAAGTTCCTAAATGTCTGTAAATAACTTACGCAAGAACAATTATCGTCGTAAATAATTTTTTCTTTTGTTGATGTAATTTTAGACTACATGTTGCTGTTGCCTTTCACTGCTGGTGGTTTCCTCTACATCGCATTGGTGTCCCTCTTGCCCACGTTCCTCAAGGAAAAGGATAAAATGTAAGCTATCTAATTGTCATTCTTACTTCCAATTTAACTTTCCCAATAATTAGATAATTTAATTTAGGAGAAAAAAGTGATCTTTAATCGAAATTGCCCAGAACTTCTGACGATTAATTGTGCTTAAATTTCATTCGAAAAATCGGCTTGATTGATAGGAAGTCAATGTGTATGCGTTAGAAAATTTGTCTTCTTCTTGGTTAAAGCTAAAACACTCATGTATTTCCAAGAATTTGTCTGTTCAGTAATGTGATTGGTTAGTGAATCTGTGTTGGTATGTTTTTGGGCTCTTGGTGCAACAGAAGATCATCCTTCCTTGACGTCACCTTTATGTTAAATTTTTTTATGGATCATTGGGGATGAATTACTACTATTTAAAATATGCCTTGCTGATATCGTCTTTCAAGTTAGTTGTTGAAAAAAAATTGGGTTCCTTAACGATGAATATTTGTTAATTATACTTATCTACCATTGATTAAATATGATTTCTAGTGTTGCATAGCACGCGTTTTCTTTCAAATTATGGGGATTCTGTTGTGCTTTCCTCCTGTCAATTCTACTTTATGGAGAATAATTGCCACTCTCCATTTTGATTTTAAGAGTCAAATCTAGCCTAACTATCTATTCACTTATTTCCTTAACCACAAAGAAGCTCCCTTTAACAGAGGTGTCCCTTGGGTTTAATATATATATTTGATAGTACATAAATGTCACAAAGACTTAAATAGCACTTAGTTCGTCCTATATAACATAGGTTTCCGAATCTCGTTGTCTAAATTTAAACCCCAAATCACAATTGTTTTTGATCAAATGGTACTTATTATTCTCCATTGTCTGCCTTCAATTATACGAATATTGCCAACGATGACATCTAAGCTGTCAATTGCAAATTTATCTTTATCTCCAGCACATCTGGTGTACTCGAATTATGAAGTTTCCCCCATCGAATGACTAATTTAATGCTGTAATACTTAAAGGTTCTGACCATCTTCTACACGCATTTGTAGGATTTATTCCATGCCCTTCAAAATCTTCTTACCTTGGCACTTTAAAATCACATTGGTACTTTATTTCGCATTATGCAAACAGTGTTCTTTGATGCGATTCCAGCTTAAAAAAATCAAAATATGCACACCATAAAATTGCACCAGAGAGGGAGAGAGAGATTGGAGAAGTGAGGGACAGGTGTTTAGACACATGGCATTAAGTTCCCCCCCCCCCACAGGACCCTCTTCTGTTTGCACATTTATTCCAGTAGCTTGGAAAACAAAGAGATTCATTATAGGAAGCATTGTTTTCAATAGTATACGGAAGAAGATATATATATATATATACCAAATGGCAATATTGTTGAGGAAAAAAAATATACAATTATTTGCTCACTTTTATTTTCCTTTTTGGCCTCTTCCTCGTTGAGCTTCTTCTTTTTCTTCGGGTACACTTGATGTCTTTTGTTGGTTTCGTATTGACTTATTTCTTTACAAGAAGACCACTCAGAGGAGTAATACAGAATCTGTTAGTTTCTGCTTGACATTAGCATTTTCATAGGAGATCTTCCACGAAATACCTTCACGAGAATAGTTATTGATTTTCTATCATTGCTCCCTGTCCTTTTCCGTGGTCTCTATTCTCTGTCTTCTCGACAACCTTCATCACATTCTCTCTGAAATTCTTTTTTAGTTAGTCTTCATATCCTTCTTCGAATTGATTTTCGATTCTATTATCGCAGTCCCGGATAAATTTTGGGCAAAGATCTTGGCTTGTAGATCGTACGTGGCACAAAATAAATTTATATATATATATATATATATATATATATATCGTCGAAGAAAAATAATCAATGATATGCATGGATGCATTTTCTCCTTAGCATTCCAGTACTGAATGGTAATGTAACTAAGGCAAGGGATGAAACAGAGCAGGCACGAACTGCACTCAAGGCATATTAATAGTTTTATATTGAGACAGTGAGATTGGATACCCCCTTCACTGGTTGTGCACCGATATCCCTGACTCTGGTGATGATCAAATCAACCCCTGTACCATCACCTGAGCATTCTTCGTCGAATTGTTTGATTAAAATGGCAATCAAAAATGGACATAAGTAGTTGAAATTGTCAGTTATTATATTAAATAGCTGAATAATTAGTTCATTTGTATCATTTAGTAAAATGATTTGGTCTAGAGGCCTCAGCATATACTCCGCATTTGCTCGCTACACGATCAAGATAAAGGCACATCTTCCAGAATGTTCTAACGTGTTTGAGGAACCTTTGATTAGCCATGGTAGAGTTGTGCAACCTAAATAACTCCTCTAATGCTAGATTTTCTAGGTTCACCTAATTACCGCTTCACAGCCATTGTTTCAAACATTAAAAATTGCATAAATATTGATTACCTTCAAGGATTTTTTGTATTTTTAACACTTCTTATTTCGTTTTATTTTAGGGAATCTTTTATTCAAACCTGCTGCATTTTGTTGGGAGTAGGGTGCATTCAAGGTATTGCGCGCTTGCACCTGTGAAGATTCTATCAATAGGCCCCCCCCCCCCCCAAATGATTTTCTCCCGACAATCACTGATTTCTAAGCTTTCCATTCTCTAACTCTTTTTACACCTTCTTTCATATTCAAATTGCAATTTGCATTTCTATATTATGTTTTATGATTTTATCATTGTGAATCAGAGTATGAAATTATCCTTTACCTGACAAATTTGGAATACATTTCGTATTTAGGCAACAAAAGGCTTGTTTTCTTTTTCACTTGAATGGAGGGAAGTTTTTCAATGCGGATGATGAATAATATTCTTTAAAGTGGTAGGAAACTGTACAAGTGTGATTCGTTGAAGTCACCTTCACGAGTGAAAGATGTGTAAACAGGCATGCTTAAAATAAAAAGGTAGATGTTAGTGATTAAGAACTCACTAACTCGGATAAAAGTATAAAAGCCCATTTTATGGTCAACAAGCAACAGCTTATCACAACTAAGAGTACTCAATAGCTGTCAACAAGTAGTTTCCAGTAGCTACTGAAAGCTAAATGCCGGTTAAGTATTACAGTTGGCCAAAAATCCAGTAACAGTTAATTTCATTTAAATGTTCCGATTGTTATAAGAGCCGTGTATTTGTAGAACTCCTAGTCTTATTGCTTCCCCTCCATTCAACTTCGCATAGAAAAACATTATTTACACATATCATTTAAAAGCAGATAATAGTAAAATTGCCAACACTCTGTAATTAAAAACGATGACTACTTGTATTCTAGCGAAAATTAATATATTTATTTCCTTTAGGACCAAATGTCCGCTTTATATACAAAACTGTATGTAATTAACTTACATACGCTTGGCCTTTGTCTGATTTCAAAAATTGTGAATTTGGAGAAGATATATCGATGATAGAATTAACAATCAATTGAAACGAATACATGGAGAATTATAAGATTATTCTCAATTAAGGTATGAGAGCCATTTGAATTACAGCAGTTTAATATTACCATGTTTAGCGATTTACTGGGGTAAGAGAAAATTTGAGGATAATATGCCCAATTACATTTGTATCAATAGTATAAATTTACAAAATTCACCCACTGATTGTTCGAATATCGGTTTTCCAAGGCATAAAGGTAGAAGGGAACGAAGTGTACAATCTTTAGAAAGAGCATAACAAAGAATATTTAGGAAATTTTAGAGATTCAAAATTGTATAATTTTTTCACTCATTTTATTTAAACTATCCAAAATATTAAGGTAACTAAGTGGTAAGATCATTATTTTAATTCTTATGTATGCTATTATAATACTTTTAAAATTCATTCTAAGCTTTTCAGAAATCGCATTATTAATAATTTATTGAACAGCAAATTGAGTTGGTATAAAATAAAATACATTTTTTGTTATATTTTCCATTAGAATGTATAACTCATATGCGCAATGCATATCGCATTATAAAGTACCTCGCTTCTGTTCTCACACCAATTTACGCAATGAAATCCTTGAGAGAAATTGATAGCGAAATGCGGAAATGCGAGATAATTTGACTTGGAACAGTGCAAATTATCACATCCTGTTTTAGGCTATATTGGTTTGCATTCTGATTGCTTAGACAAGGATAAGCTAACAACATAAAAAGTGAAATATTGAATACTTAGCAAATACCTAACTGATGTAATCATTTTTTGTTCTATTATTGTGGATGATCAAACTCTTTAATTTTTAGGCATTTATTTTTATAGTAACTATCAGCTACTAGAGAGTAAGTGCTGATTGCTACCAGATTCTTGTAAAGCAAAAGATAATGGAATGCTGCTCAAGCATACTTCAAAGCAATATATAATAACATATAGTTTTCATGAGTATTCAAATACGTCGTACAAGCTATTCGCATATTATTTTTAATTTATTATTTTAATTGAGACAAAAATCTGAAAATAGTTACAAAATAAGATTAAAACACTACTGCATCACAAAGAATTACTATTTTATATCAAGCATCTTCATCATCATCCATATTTTCCTTTTATGTGATTGGTCTATTTGAGTCATTCGTTTACTATTTAGCCTGCGCTCATAGAGATGGCTGATGTTGTAGAAATCCATGGAGGGAATGACTTTGAGGAGGATGCAGAGGGTGATAGTAAGTTTAATGTTTTCAAATATTGTAAAATAGATAAATACTTAATCTGTTATGCTTCTTTTTTATGGAAGCAGACCGTGATGGCATGTGATAGTCTTGTGTTTTTATTGGCAATATTAAGTCATTTCATTAGATTTTTTGCTTTGACACATAGTTTGTGATTTTCTTGCTTAAGAATAATGCTGGTATTAATTAGTCTTCGATGTTCTTTTTTCAAATTTATTTTATGTCTTTTCTATTTTAGCAACCACTTTATTTTACCTATTTGTATAAGCCCCGTGACAATTCCTATTTTTAGGTGGTATTATGCGTCTAAAGGAGCAAGCAACTAAAAGAAAGGGTCGTGGTTTTCGTGGAGGTAAGTCGGAACACTGACCTTCCGAATTCTCTTCTTTCAGAGGCGGCAACTCGTCCTCAAGAGGAAGCCTATGAGTCTCTTAGAACAGATGAAAATACTTCTGCCCATGGGCCACAGCGCTGTAAGCCTACATTTTCTTTCTAATCACACAATTTCCCAATAGCGATTGAGGGCTGGATCGTCTTTGTGCGCAACGTCCATGAAGAAGCCACAGATGAGGACATTCGTGACATGTTTTGTGAGTACGGAGAGATTAAGAACATTCACCTGAATCTTGATCGTCGTACAGGTTTTCTGAAGGGCTACGCTCTGGTGGAGTACGAAACCTTTAAGGAAGCTAATACCGCTCTTCAAGCTCTTAATGGAGCTGAGCTTCATGGACAGAAAATCTCAGTCAATTGGGCTTTTGTGAAGGGAACTGGTAACAGCAGCAATGTAGGTCGCGGAAGAGGCTACAAGTCAACTCATCATCATAGTCGTTCGCGTAGTCGCTCAAGATCTCGGGATCGAGCTCGTCATTAAGCGTTCGGTTAGTTCAGTCGGGTAGGGCAATTGTGAATAAAACTTACTTTCAACCCTTCCCTACTCTGTTACCTTGTCTGATAATACCATGCCCTTTGGTTTTGTCTATTATTAAAGCTTTTAATACATGTAAAGTTCAATATTCTTTTTTTACATGCTTGTGACTTGTGTGTTTTTCTTGAGAGAACGTCTAAAGTTTAAAATATGTTGTTTCCATTTCATTGCCTCTAGTTCGTAAAAGTAACCTGTTAATTGATTATGAAATTCATGATTGAGGCTATCATTACAATTACATTGGCAAAAAATTAAATACTAAATTGCTCCTCCCTTGGTTTAGCTTGTTTTATTTTGCTGAATATTTCTCGGTAATTAAACGCGTTTATGTGTGCAATGTTGTTTGGAAGTTGATAAAAAATGCTGAGTATCAAACAAATTACAATCAATAACGTTAATATAGGATTGAATGCTTATTTCCGAATCGCTTCAACTCAAGCCTTTTATGTTCCCCCCCCCCCCCCGAAACTCCCATTTTCGTCTATTAGCTTACAGTTTAGACAAATTGGAAGTAGGTCACGCCGTGCAAAATCCGTTAGTACTTTAATGGAATGGAGGCGTTCAGTTATCCCTGCTTCTATTGATCTTGGGGAATTCTTTGGTTGAGCTGCTTATTGTATTTTTTTGCCATTAAGGTAATCTTCTTTCCACTGACCGATACTAATCACAAACTATTAAATAATCTTAAATCGTTAGTTTGGCTTTCTATTATCAACTTTTCTCATCGAACCAGATTTTCATACGTTAAATGAGTTGTATTTTAACTTCAATTAGGGTTTTCCAACAAAACACTCAACTATTTTGAAGTTGGCACTCGAACCTTGCTTTTTGGGTAGATTTTTGCCTCTCGAGTTGATTTTGGTAGTGAATTAGTCCAGTCGTCAAGCGTAAATTCATTTAACCTCATCCATGTTCTTATCTGTCCAAATTCGTCCACTTCTTATCCATTAGAACGCTAATCCACTTCTGTTTATGTGTATTGAAGAGGACTTGACAGCCTTGACTACGCTACTACAAATTTTTGATTAGATTTATTGAATTTCGATCTTGGATGCGTAACTGATAAGATCAGATATGCATATTCATGCAGGAAGCGATTGTTCATTGATCAGTGGTAAAAGTTTTAATTTCTATATCTCATCTCTATTCATCATAGTATTCCTTAGATATAAACAGCACAAATCTATGAACTAGTCGATTATCCAAAAGCCTTTGCTTCACTCGATTTTCTGTCCCGTTTGATTTCGCTGAGGCTAAAATGACTATTTTTCCTCTTTAAATCTGCCTAATACCTGAGAATAGTGGAAATTGAAATTTTGACAAAACTAATAAACACGCTTCCGATTAAAATGATATTTAACCACACAGTTTGTTTTTGGCTATCGGGCATGTCGCAATTATAATTAAATATTTGGTTCCCCAAGACTCGACAGAAGTCGCTGCTTTCCCAATTAATTTATACCTTTTGGTTCTCTAGAAGTCTCCTACTCTCTCCTCAATATTATCGATTTTCCAATGAGTGTAGTAAGATTAAGTACAATTAAGAAAAAGTGAAGTGATTATTATTAAAATAGTGATATCCTCAAGTTTCCCTGGCGACAAACACCCATGCTTCTTTTTCTATTTTTAATAGCACTAACAATACCATTAATAGTTGATTGTATAAATTTCGATATGGATCAAAGCGAACACCCCGTCAACAAGCTGTTCCTCCTGTACTTTCCAAGTTCAGTTATCTGATAACTGATTGTTTACATAGGATTCACAAGGAAGGGCTTTGTTTAGTTTTACTTTTGAAAATTTTCACTTTGAAATGAGTCTATTTCATTCTTTTGACCTACTCTCATTTTTACCAGACTACTAGACAGAAATGAGACAGGATTGTATCGATCAGTGTCTATCCTAATGAAATCTAAACTGCCAGAAAGTGGTAAGTTGTTTGGTGGAACAGGGTAGTTTTGAATATGTAAACAACGGGTTATATTTTTCTTCGGAGGAGGTAAACACTCCGGGAAAGTCTAAATCACTTATATTGAAGGTCTTCCGGGGTATTGATACCTGAGTAAATTATTCATCTTAAAGCAGGCCCCAGCATATGTAGATTAGTAAAAATACCAAGCGCTTGATATGGATTGTAATAATTGTATCAGTTAGTTTCAAAATCCTTGGAATGCCGGGAAGAAATTGAACATTAATTACAATACTATTCGTGCATACAGAACCGTAGACTTCATTTCGAATATTCAACTAATTTTGTTGCATGAAATCTCTTACCTCAGTTTCCATTGTCACATCACTTAAAATCTATTAAATCTTCGTACGTAATGAAACGGATTTTAAAATTCGCATCTGTTTACTTTATTGACGTGGTGTTGTACTCCAAATTAGTTGGCTACTCACCTAGAAGAGGAAAATAACATCGCTGTTCGCGGTGAAGTCAGATAACAAAACTGTTCCTCAACTGGATTTAACTAAAGATCATATTCGCCAATCGCACTATTGAAGTCTGTCGAATTCGGATCTCCTACCGCGAAAGCTTCATGATATTACCCCAAAATGAGTTATGGAAAGCGCTTTCCCAAATGGATTGCCATTGGTGAAAGTATTTTCAATTAACCCTACGTCATTTAACTGTGATCAAATCTCTTTCCATTCATTTATCTCCATAACCCATCAGACGCCAAGAGGAAGAGGGATTAAAGAAATTAACCCCCCCCCCCCCAACAAGAGTTAATTTTTCCACAAACTTAATGTCAGGAGAAAAATTCCTCCTTTTGTGAGCCATTGCCATTACCGACTTGTAACTAATTGCTTTGGTATTTCAGGGTATATACACTTGAAAAAAAATTGGCCAAGGTACCAAGTCTACTATCATTGAATTAGGCTTGGCAATTTATTGGTTGCCATTGCTGGAATTGTATTTTAATTCATATAATTGTTAAAACTCAGTTCCCTATAAGGATCACCACGTGTTTAGAAACCGGCGAATGAGCTGTTATATATAATTTATGAAGATATATTTGGGAATTGTTCCAGTACAAAGATTGTGTATGAATATGCTCAAATTGAAACAGTGACGACCACGAACACATCTGCTGAATTCAAGGTCATCCATTATATAGTTGAATCTTTGACTATTTGTAATTATGATCTCCGTTAGATTACAATTGTTTACGGTAATTGACAATCGAACCACCTTACTTATTTGTTTTTGAGTGCTATCAGATGTGTTTTGTTATGCAATTTTTCCAAATTCAGGTCTGCTCAGCGAAATGAAGATAAACTACGACTCTTAGCACAAATCCTTACAATTTGAAGTTGAGTGTTGATGTACTGAAATGGTGACGTCTTGTAGAGTTTTCTCTCCAATCCACTAAAAGCTATGTATCTAAAGTGACACAAACTCTAGTACAACTACTTTTGTGTTCTGACTGAGGTATTTCCTTCAAAATCTAATAATCTCAAAAGTTTGATCTTGCAAATCAATGGAAAGTCGAATTGTGCCAGTGGTATGTCAGAAGATGGGAGGGGGTGGAGAGGTGAAGTTCCAGCTATACCTCCAAACGGCAGAATTGGGTGGTAAGGGTAAATAAGGTTGCCTTAGACAGACTGTTAAAATTTTTTGTTCATTGTTGTTGAGCTGACAAGTAAGTTAGACCTATGAATCAGTGGGTGCCTCTCAATTGAATTGTGTGGAGGTATCATAAATCCTATTGTCTAATTCGTGCCCTTGAAACGAACTTTAACTGCAATAATTGAAACTAAACCTGCTGAAATACAGTAAGCCAATTTTTTTATAATTAAAACAAGGACTACCGATCAATTGAAATGGGCCTCGGTTTTATGGGATTTCATTTTGATTCGTGACAAGAGCGGAATCCATGAGTTTCTGGTATTGACCAATACACCAATACATTAGCCTAATCAACATGAAAACCTCTCTTATCTTCTCTATTATTTTGAATCCACTATGCGCACTAATATCAAAACTCACCCCATACGAGCCAATTGCTTAGTATCGATAAAAATTGAAATAATGTTCCTACATTTATTTATATCAAATGACAGCCTTTATGGCAGTTACCATTAGCCCTCCTGTTGATTTCGGGCTTCACGGAGGAGAGAACCATCAAAGTCACAAAAAGTCGAAAGGAAGGAACAGAAGAGTGATTCACAGATGTAAAAAAGACAGGCACAAAGGTAGTGGAAAGGTGAGGTGAGTTCTGTGGAAGTGGCCGAATATGACATAGAGTCGGGTCATGGTAGCTTGAAGTCTGAGGTCATTTGCTGGTTTATAGACTTTTTGCCGTATGCGTATACGGTGCCCCGGGTGCACCACGTGGAAGTAAGTCTATCTCGTATCCCTTGTTCCTACATCATCCTTTGGATTGATACACCAAGCAATTCATAACTAGTTTGTTATAAATTTACTACTTAAAGTAAAAGTTTACGCCCTTCTTCGTTCATAAAACTTAATACGTCCCAATCCTCCCAAAAGCTAATCTCAAATCGAACTAGACTTCCCAATGTAAGTAGGTCTGAAATTGGGAAAAAGTAAGGTTGAAAAGAAGGATACGAAGTTGGGGCAGAACCAAAAAAGGCTTGCAATATAGCCTTTGAAGTGCTAAAATGTGTTGCTGCTTGTTTCGAGTAGCTAAAGCAACTACCTGGAAAGTAATGGAAGAGGCGCTGTGCTAATGTCAATCAATTGCGATATACCAGAAATGGGCCACTTTTGAGGGAGCTCTTAGCGCTTGGAAGCTACCTTATGACTTACAGCAAAAAAGAGGGATCAACGAGGAGCCTGAAGGGGTACGATTATTCCAAATTCACATGCTAAAGAGCAGGGGGGGGGGGTCATTACTAGAAGATCGCCAATTGTGGCAAGAAAAGAATAAGGTCATTAGAGATTGATCTACAAAGGTGTGAAAGAGAGAGCTAAAGGG